TAAAATTTATTACTCAACCAAAATCAACAAACAATGATTCCCTGGCCTTTTCAAGTCTTTCAACAAATTTTTATAATTAAGTCAATATTTTTTATGTAAATTGCCAAACGCTTTAATAAATAAATGAGAAATATAAATAATATAAATAAATAGAAACAATAAATAAATTAAATAGAAAACACTTTATATAAACTTTATACTTGGAAAGATTCCCTAGAATCTCCATGGGGGCACTTTCAGAAAAAACTTTCCATGTAGGGATAAATAAAAAGTAAGAAAACTTTAAACATTAAACTTCTCTCATTGGTTTAATTTGTTCATTAATATAAACTGTTTCTATCGTTGCATTTTGAAACATTTATCTCTTAAATTTTGATATTGCAATCTTTTAGGGATTTGAATTGCAGGACTCGAACTAGGTTCGTAAATCTCGTAAATGTCCGTAAATTTGCTTCAAGTCTGTAAAAGTCAGTTTTTTGAAAAAAAAGGTCCGTAATTTGACAGAAAAAAGACGAAAAGTTCGTAAATTGTACGATATCATTTTGAAAATTTTGAAAAAGTTAGAAATTATTGTAAAAATTCAATTATTTTTAAAAGCAATAAAATTCTTTGTAGAAATTCAATTATGTTCAAAAATTTTTTTAAATTCTTATAAAAATTTCAATTATCTTTAGAAATAATGAAATTTTTTTCCAAAATTCAATTATATTCAAAAATTTTAATAAAATTCTTCTCAAAATTTTAATTATTTTAAAAAATTCACATCAAAATTTCAATTATCTTTATGGAAATTATTAAATTTTTCTCCAAAATTCAATTATATTCAAAAATTCTTGTCAAAATTTCAATTATTTTAAAAAATTCTCATCAAAATTTCAATTATCTTTATGGAAATAATTAAATTTTTCTCCAAAATTCAATTATATTCAAAAATTTGAATAAAATTCTTGTAAAAAATTCAATTATTTTAAAATTTTTTTCTCAATTCAATGATTTTCAATATATCTACTATTTTAATCAAATTTTTAAAAAGAAATTATTATAAAAAATTTTAATAAAATTCTACGCTTATTTATTTATTTTCATAAATAATAAAAATTTCACAGGAATTCAATTATTTATAAATTTTTCATAAATTTCTTCGCAATCATTCAATTATTTTCATAAATAATAAAATTTTTACAGATATTCAATTATTTTCAACAATAAAAAAAACTCATTGCAGAATTTCAATTATTACATTCTCATTTTTAATTCAATTTTAATCGACTTTCTCGAAAAATCTAATTATTCTTAAAAATTTTATTGAAATTTCGTCAAAAGAATTGAATTATTTAAAAAAAATTTAACAAAATTCTACTCAATAATTCAATTATTTACAATCTACAATCTTGGCTATACAAGTGTTTTTACAACCGTAGAACATTCCTTACAAACATTTCTTAATACTAAATTTTTGCGCCTACAGAGCGACTTGAAAATTAGGAGTACTCGCATTTGCCTGGACCACCCGTCTAATGGGTGTAATTTGAATTCTAGTAGAATTATTTAATAAAAACTGATTTAAAAATGAATTTTAGTTAAACTTTTAAATTATAATTGAATATTAAAAGCATTATATTAGAGCGTGAATTTTCAGAAATAATTGAATTTCGAAAAGGTTTTAAATTAAAATCTTTAAAAATCTGAATTTTTCTTATTTTTAACTAACAGTTCTGTGGAATTAATTTTTTTGAGAAAGTTTAATTGCGGATTTTTTAAAAAAACTATTTGAAGTTTTTTATTTTCTTATATATATTTAATGAAAGAATTTACGAATAATTAAAATTTTGTTAAATTGAATTGTAAGCAAATAAATTTGAAATATCAAAGAAATTTTTTAAAAATTGTTAAAAATAATGCTTATATAGGGGAGACTGGGGCGAAAAGTTAAATTGTGAAAACAGTTAAAATTCATTATCTTTCGAACGGAAATAGTTAGAGCATTGCAATTTTAACTATAGAAGGGTGTTATCACCCTAAATAAATGTCCGGAGTTATGTGACATTCTGCTAATTTTTATGGTGTCCATATTTAAAGTTTGCTTTCACCCTACTTTTGAAAATTTTTTCGTAAAAGAAAATATCAACTTTTAAGTATATTTTTTGCATTTATCCTCACCGCGATTTTTTTCTTCATTATTTGGGTCCCCTGAAGAGATACCTAAAGGTATTTGCTAAATATCTTTAGTCAGATTTTTTATATTTGTTGTTAAAGCCAAAAACGCACCCTGGGGCGAAAAGTTAAATGTATTTTTACATATTATTAAAAATTTTTTTTTTATTTTTCGTTTTTTGGGTTTATTTGTTTAAAAATGATTTATTTGACATTAGGCAAGTAGTTTATCAAAAAACAAGACTGCTCACGTGAAATAAACCAAAAAAAATTTTTTTTTTTTTTTGAAATTTCAATTTATTAACTTTATAATTATTCTAAAGCTTTTGTTAAGTAAACAAAGATCTTTTATTAACTAAATTACTTGTTTACGTATACTTTAACTTATCTACTACTTAACACCTATCAGAAAATAGTTTTAGTAGGCTAAAAATAGAATTGAACTTTTTGCCCCAGCCATTTAACTTTTCGCCCCAGCATGGGGCGAAAAGTTAAAAAAGACAAAATTTTCAAAAAAGGACATAACATGTATTGTATGCGAAAATATCAAAAACTTTTTTATTGAAAGTTGTAGGGGACAAGATGCCCTACCACGGTGGTCCTCGAATAATTTCAACTTTGACTTTCTTCTATACCTCTGATTTTCTTTTTGGGAATGTTAGGGGACTACTTCAGGACCATTTTGTAAGAAAAATTAAAATCGAAGACTGAGCACTTTTTTTAATCGAGATTTTTCGATTTTTTAATAATTTTTTTAAAGAAAAATCGTATTTACTCACCATTTACTCATTATGTGATTATATTTGTTTACTTAGAAGTACACATAACCCAAAATAAAGAAAATTATGTAAATTTTATTTTAAAAAAATTATATTTATTAATTAAAAGTAATTTAAATGAACATAACGAACATTTTCAGAAAACATAAATAATTTAAATGTGTTGTGAGTTATATTTCTAAGTAAACAAATATAATAATAAGTAAACAAATATAATAATAACATAATGAGTAAATAGAGAGTAAATACGATTTTTCCTTAAAAAAAATTATAAAAAAAAATTTTTAAATCTCCATTAAAAAAAGTGCTCAGTCTTCGATTTTAATTTTTCTTGCAAAATGGTCCTAAAGCAGTCCCCTAACATTCCCAAAAAGAAAATCAGAGGTAGAAGAAAGTCGAAGTTAAAATTATTCGAGGACCACCGTGCTACAATATTGATGTATAAATATTTGCATCTAAGCGGATTATATTGTCTAAAAAAAATCATTTATGCAAAATTTAACTTTTCGCCCCAGTCTCCTCTATAGAAGAATTTTAGTTAAAAACACGAATAAAAAATTTAATTTTGGAAAAGTTACAAATTATTGCAGAAATTCAATTATTTAATTTAATTATTTAAAAATTTAATATTCTTCAAAAATAATAAAATTCTTCTTACGGATTCAATTATTTTCACAAATAATAAAACTCATCGCAGAATTTTAATTATTTTAAAATTGTAATACAATATTTTAATCAAATTTCGCGAAAAATGTAAATATTTTTAAAAATTTTATTTAAATTCGTCGAAAAAATTCAATTATTTAAAAATTTGTTGATAACATTCTTTATGGGAATTGAATTTTAAGAAACATTCAATTATACAATAAATTATTTATTTTTGTATTTAAATAATTGAGTACTAGTAGAATTTTCTAATAAAAATTGATTTAAAAATGAATTTCAGATAAAATTTTATATAATAAGTTGAATATTAAAAGCAATATAGCGTAAACTCTTAAAAATAATTGAATTTTGAAATTAATTTTTTTGAAAAAGTTATTAAATTGAATTTTATTTATATAACAAAAACAGCCTCAAACAGCCTCAAACAGCCTCAAAAACATGGCTCCAATCCATAATTTTTTCAATTTTGAATTTTCGAAACAAAATACTTATAAGTTAGAGATTTAAATAATTTTTATTTATTAGATTTATGGAACATTACCAAAAACATTTTGTATATAAAAAAATAATCTGCAATGTGAAGAGGTACAAATATAGTATAACTTCTTAAAGGTCAATTACTCAGATGAAGCAGAAATTTGTTCGTCAAGAGATGTCCAAATAATTCACATGCATGAAATATTACACATTTGATGATCGGATTGAGTTGCAATTTGCAATAACTCGAGTGAAACTTGAAGTGAAACGAGACAACTTCAGTTGAACCCAGAAGTCCGACACTTTTCATGTAAAACTGAAATATTTCAAAGGAAAATTCAATTTTTAATTATTTCTATAAGAAGTAATAAAAATATAAATGTAATAATTTTTAGTTTTCGGTACGCTCATATTTAAGTACATATAGTAACTTTTAAAAATTTTATACTGATTCTTATTTATTCAAATATTATATAATATGTATTATTCAAAATGATATATTTTCTCGAATACGTACTCAAATAATAAAAAACAAATTTTCCTTAAATTGTAGCATTTTATTTTAAATGTTCATAAGAAGATATTAAATGAAACTGATGATTTTCCTTCAGTATAACTTTCAAACATATTGTTATACTTTATGAATTGAACCGCCGTCGACCAAAGTCCTTTTGGTCGCCGGCGGTTCAATTGTTTAAACAATCTGTAAAGAAAATATTTTTTTTAATAAAACTAAATGTTTTTGGTTTAAATATCCTTTATTATTCACTCTCTTTTTTTCAATATTTTAAACTAATTCGGTATTTTTAAAGATGAGAAAAATTTCATTTTATGAATTTACTAAATAGAAACTTATGGGTTCTTGTTGATAAATGGAAAAAATCGTTTACTGAGCGAGGTGTTTTCAAATACTTGTGTATTTACCGGTAATGTTATCGCCGCGCTGCTGCGGCCACCGGAAGGAAGGCCTTGGCTGTTGCTTGCTTCGCATATCTCCCGTCCAGTACCGGCAGGGTCAGTGGTTGGTTTTTCTGTACGATTGGAGACCACTACTTACCTAAAAAATAAAGAACAAACATTATAATGCGCTCCTTCAAAAAAATCCAGTCATTAAGGAATTTTAGGATCATTTTATTTTACTATATAGCTTTAGGAAAAAAAAATGTATCAAACATTCCTTTCAATACAATCCTGAAGAATAGCTTATAATTATACAATATTAAATATTATTAAAATTAAATCATTTATGTTTTCTAATAAATAATTGCAATTATATTTATTTTGGTGAAATATAAAACACGAGAATTGCGGATAGGGTGTTTAAAAATCGTTAGTTCCAAAAATTCGTTCAGTTCTTCAAATAAAAACAAGAACGTATCATTTACCAACCATCCTTATCATTAACTTACTGGTCTTATGTTACTATTTTTCCTCTTTTTCCCTCATTGCTCTGATAATTACAAATCAGTAGGATTTTTGAATGAGTAAATATTGCACAATTATTGAATAAAATTGATCGAAAATGTTCAATGAGTTATAGCTCTTTGGAAAGACAGCTAACCAAGTAGCGAGTGTGTCCAAAACACCTTTCATAATCTGCCATCTGCAAATGGCGGTACTGACAGCTTAAATTTTGTGTGTGACGTTCGTTCGAAATGACAAGTCTACAATGTGAACGGCATACCATTTGGACATAATTTCGTCTCACAATCAGAGACTAGCCATCACTATACTACTCTGAAATCAGTATTTATAAATTGTTATTTATAAATAACAACTTTCGTGTTTTACTGCACAAGCCGGAAAATTATTTTTTTCGCGTTGTCTGAGAACAGTAAGTCATCTTCTTCAGTATTTGTTGTGCTAAATCCGAATCTGAGGACAAAAGCTTTTCACCACTTCAGGTTTTTGAAAAAAAGAGTGGAAACTCACAAAAATAACTTCTTTAGCAGTTTTTGAAAATTTGTAACTGTTCTTGACCCGTCAGGCAAAGCGGTATTTTCTAGAGTTTCATTCTCACTTTTCTCAAAATTCTTACATGATGGAAAGTTTTTTTTTGGTAAATTCGGGTTGAACGAAACAAAAACTGTAGAAAGTGACATCCCGATTTCAGACAACAGAAAAAAAATTACAATAACCCTTCAAAAATTCAATTATTTTCTATAATTTTGAACTAAATTTCATCTCTAAATCAATTATTTATATTAATTTTTAATAACTTTTGGAAATTTTTTCGAGAATTAAATTATTTCAATACAAAAATTCAATTTTTTATAATAATTGAAACAGTTTATTTTTCTTTTTAAAAATATTAAAGTAGAATATTTCCAAAAATTTTAATAAAGAAATTCTTAAAATTAATTTTTTAAAAATATTTCTAAATAATTTTTGAAAGACTTAAAATATGTCCAAAAATTTAAATTTGGTAAAATCTTTTAAAAAATAATGGAAATTTGGTAAAATCTTTAAAAAATAATTGAAATTTGATAACATTTTTTAAAAATAATTGAGCTTTTAAAAAAAATATTCAACATTTTGAAGAATTTTAATTATAAATGACTTTTTCGAAATTTTAATAAGTCTGAAAAAGTAAATTTAAAAAAATTTCAATTTGCTTTGTTCGAAATTTATTGAATCTTAAAAAATTATGATAAAATAATTCGAAGAATTAGTTTTTTTTAAAAATATTGTAATGTAATTTTTCGAAAATAATTAAATTTCTAAACAGAATTTTTGTATTAATTTTAAAAAAAAGTAATTAATTTTTAGAAGAATTTTATTTAAAAAATTTAAATATGATTATTTTCTCCAAAATTTTAAAAATGATTCTAAAAAATTTTAATGTTATTTTTTGTATGTATTTGAATTGTCGGAAATATGTAATCGAAATTATTGAAAATAATTGAATTTTAAAAAAGTAGAATGAAACAATTCGGAGAATTAGTTTTTTTTAAATATTTTAATATTATTTTTACAACCTAATTTTCTTTAATTTTCATTTTTATTAAATTTACACTTGACGATTTTTGATTAAAATTTTTGAGAATTCAATAATTATTTCCAAAATTTTAAATTGAAATTTTTTAAAAGATATTTTTCAAAAATTGTAATAAAACACTTGAAAAAAATGATTTATTTTCAATTAAATTTTACAAAATTTCAATTATTCAAAACCTTTTTAATTGTATATTTCAAAAATTCAATTAGAAAAATTATTCAAAAATAAATTTCCAATGATTTGTCCATAGTTATACTTTTCACAAAATTTGAAAGAAAGGTCGAAAAAGTCGCAATTTTTTAATAATAATAATAATAATAATAATAATAATAATAATAATTTTAAGAAAATGTATACATTTAAAAAAAAAAATCTGTTTTAATTGTCAACAAAAGCTTTAAATCACTGAGTTAAAAAAAAGAAAAATGTTTTAAAAACAATAAATTTGATTAAAGGGTAGAATTTTTCTCTTTTCCATTGTTTTCGAGTTTTTGCTTACAGTTAAAAAAGGTATTTTTTTTAAAACACAAATTTCATTAAAGGCTAGAATTTTTCTCTTTTCCATTGTTTTCAAATTTTCGCCCATTACACTTAAAAAAGGAAATTTTTTTTAAAACGATATATTTCATTAAAGGGTAGAATTTTCTCTTTCTCATTGTTTTTGCCCACAGTTAAAAAAATCATTTTTTTTTAATAACTATAAATTTTATTAGTAAGGGTAGAATTTTTCTTTTTTTTTTTTGTTTTCAAGTTAAGAAAGAAAAATTTGTTTATAAAAGTAAAAAGTTTCATCAGGTGGAAGAATTTTTCTTCTATCCATTGTTTTCAAATTTTTGCCCATAATTTAAGAAAAGAAAAAATAATTAGTAGGGAATTCGCCTATTACCCAAAATATAACAGTTTTCCAAAATTTATTTATTTAAATTGTGGTTGAAGATGAATTTACAAAGACAAAAGAGATATTTTTTTTAACAACAAAAACAGGAGATGGAAAAACAGAAAATTTATTTTTAAAAAACCCACCAAGTAAAGCTATTTATTTTTCCATTTTAAGAATATATTTCAATTCACGGAGAATTTTGTGAATTTAAATAATAATAGAGAAAAAGCAGCTATATGGTTATGATGAATATTTGCATGGGCAAACAATAAACTATTCAAAATTGAGAAAAAAAAAGATGGAGTAGAAGAAAGAAAGAAATTTTATTGGAACGCCCTTATGCCTATTATCCCCTTACATCTCTCTCATTCTCTACGGGTCCCCCCAAAAGAGGTTGACGTTGAGCGCGAATTAAAATGTCTCATAAATATCTAAAACAAAGACAGCACATTTTGGAGGGCGTTCGTCCGAAAGATATACGGCTAGCTACGATAGCGACAAAGTGAGAATTCCCGGGATGAGAGTCCAGCTTTCCTCCTGACTTTCTGATTTTCCCTGTTACCAAACGTTACATAAATTAACCTAACGTTCACAGGCGTGGTGGATATGGATTAACAAGAAAAATAATAACGAGCAGCGATTCGTCTCTCCCTTGAATGCTCAATGTATTATTGTTGTCCTAAATATATTTCGTTTCAAAATTGCCGAGAAGCATTTTCCTTCTCGCATAACTGCTTATTTATTCCCAATTTTTTCATCTCAATTTCATTTTCGCCGAATTCACACAAAGTGTTACTAACTAGCAACAATTAGCTGACTATTCACTCATTTTTTTAAAAATAAAATGAGCAGTTTTAAAAATAATAGAACATAAAAATTAAATTTAAAAATTAAATTTTTAGAATTCTTAAGAAAATTCTTAATTTTTGTGTCTTTTTTGTTTGACTCATAAACTATAAAATTATCACGAATTCTAATACAAACACTTCAATTTTTCAATTTCTGACAAAAATTTCTTTTTAAATAACTTAAATCTTGAACAACTATCATCAAATAAATAAATTATTTAATGAATAATTTTACTTAAATATTTCAAAATTAATTCAATTTTAAAAGAGTTGCGTTTACAATTTTCATAAATGAATTAACTTCAAACGGTTTCAGTTCGAAATTTTATAAAATTTCAATGTTAAATGAATTTAATTACAAATTTTCAAGAACTTAGATTTTTGTAAAATTTTAATAATTCAAAGTCTTCTAAAATTAATTAAATTTGTCAATATATACTTCATTAATTATTATTAAAAATAATGGATTTATAGAAGAATTTTAGTTAAAAACAATAAAAATATTGAATTTCGAAGAAGTTACAAATAATTTCAGAAATTCAATTATTTTCAAAAGTAATAAAATTCTTATCACAAAATTCAATTCTATTGAAAATTTACAAAAAAATCTCGACAAAATCCCAATTATTATCTTTATAAATAAAATTTTTTTTCAAAATTCATTTATTTTAAAAAATTATAATAAAATTCTTGTCAAAATTTCAATTATTTTCAAAAAAATTTCCTCATTTCAATGATTTTCAATATCTACTATTTTAATAAAATTACCCAAAAGAATTCAATCATTTAAAAACAATTTTAATAAAATTCTACGCAAACATTTAATTATTTTCATAAATAATAAAAATTTCACAGGAATTTGAATATTTACAAATTTTTTGTAAGTTTATTCTCAATAATTCAATTATTTTCAGAAATAAAATTTTTAACATGGATTCAATTATTTTCATGAATAATAAAACTCATCGCAGAATTTCAATGATTTTTAATACAATTTTAATTTCAATTCTGTTGAAATTAGTTACACTGTAAAAAATTTGGGGATTTTTCCCTGAGGTTCCTTGTGGAATATTCCACAAATTCACGGGGAAAAGTATTTTCACTACGATTTTGGGGAATTTTCCACAAATTAGTGAAATTTTGAACAAACTTGGGGAAAAGTGATAAAATATTAGGGAATTTTCTACAAAGCGAAGGGGAAAAAATTTTCCACTACAATTTTGTGCAATTTTCCACATAATAGTGAAAATTTCAACAATATTATAGGGAAATTTGTATATAATTTTAGGGAATTTTCCACATATTAGTAAGAAAATGTCATTTTATGAAAG